ATGAAATCTTTAGGGCTGGGTTCGGCATGCCCGATTTAAAATCGTCAAATGTAATCATGCCGTGGATGCTTGTGTCACGGAGGTCGTGTAAACTTTTTGGGCTGCTATTGAATCACGCTTGGGTTTCCATTCAATTTAATTTGAGTGGTGCCACTACTGTCAGGCTACGCTATTTGATTGGTTTTTTTTAGACACTGCCACTGTTGGCCATTCAGCCGACGACGCATTTTTCCTCCGCTGCTGCAGCCTTGTCGACAGTTGGACCAAGACTCGAATTCCCTTCTGGGCAACCTGCCCTCCTGTATACTTGGCCCACTAATCAACACCTATTATCGATTCAAATTACAATTCTTGAATCTCGTTTTCTATTCCAGACCTCCAAGTTCGTATCCTGGAATAGAACTGCTAACATCCTGGGCACGCATTCTATCTTAAGGCCACTCTTTCTTCTTCAGTTGCAAATAAGGTACAGCCTCAAGACCTGTAGAGAAATGCGGACATTTTCCTTTCCTTAACACAAAAGTTTAACGTTTTGATAAAGGTAGATTTAGGAAACATGGAAATTACGTTAATGATGATTGCTAACAACCAACCCCAATGTTCATCGTTGAAAGTAATTTAATTGAACATCTTAATATTACCATAAAAGGCAGAATACTCGTTATTAAGTTGACACAGAACTCATTTACGCTAAATCCACCAAGAGGAGACTTGGCCAGATGCAGATAGCAAGTGCCCAAGGCTGTAACCTGATTCAAAGGCTGAGCATTCCCTTCCGAGTCTGACGTCAACTCAGCCCATCATCTCTTCGTGGAGAATAAAATATAACTACTACACTTTGGGAAGTCAACAGTGTTCGTTGTTTATAAAGACCGGACCCTGGCATGGGAATGTTGAAATACATTGTATCCACTGGTTCACAGGGGAAACAATAGCAAATAAATGAGTTTTTTGCAATGAACCTCAGTGGTTAAATAATGAACTGATAGATGCCCATTGTGGGGAGATCTTCTTTGGCAGAAACTAATTCCACTGACCAACAGAGATGTTAGCCGTGGTAAGGAAACGATCTCAGGTTACCGGAGTTACAATGCAGTGCACTAACCAATGCACCACCACTGAGAGCGGGCCACCAGAACGGTCCGAAGTGCCATTTAAATGTAACATTCCGTTCAAATGTGTCAGGTTTTTAATCTGCTTTCTTTAATGCCTTATTGACCCGTGAACAAAACTTATAATCGCCCATCATTCGATAACGATGGTGCACAGTTACACAGGTGCTCAAAATTTTTTTAAAACGTGAGATTTATCACATTTATGGACATTTAGTTTTTTTATGCTATCAATACATTTATCTCTGAACATCATTGTCCTTATTATCAGTTACTGTCAATAATCTCATCCCAGATGACACAAGTCTTCTGTACCGGAGACAAAGTTCAAGGAATACGGAATACAAACCTCAACAACCTTGGACAGCCAGTACAATAAGCCTCAAACTTACCATGGGATTCAACCCTACATAGAAACGTATGCAATGAGCAGAGGTGGATATAAAAAAACTTCCAAAACTGGGTGGCGGTACTAATATTTTAAGCATTTTAATTCTGGGCTCTACATGAGGCTGTGCTCATCTCCTGTTTACAGCCGGATCCAGTGGTGAAAATTCTTAATTCCTGTGACTGGGACAAGTCTATCCATAGGACAACCACTGTTGACTTCCCCACAATGTGGTCATCATTGTATCGACCCCAGAGGAGATGATGGGCTGAGTCAACCGCCAATCAGGATTTGAACTCGCAACTTGCTTATTGTATTCGTTGAAGCTGATTAACGTAATGCATTATCATACACACATTGAATTTCGTCGAAGATCCAAGGTCAACCAACGTCATTGTTCTCTAAATCACAACAGTCATTCTGGTCTTAATGAGATAACAAAGTTGTCATTTTTCATTGTTCTTTCATTTCCGTAGGTGTAGAAAGAAGCTTGCACTCGGATACGCAGACATCTTTTTGCAAACTTGAGCAAATATTACAGGTGTATGTGTGGGTTTGTGGCATAATGCGCTAACTACTGCAACAAACAATAAGCATCCCCCGTATATACACGTAGACTATTGGGGCAAGTATTCAGAATCAGAATATGTATTCATACTGGAGGAATCCGATGAGCTATAAAGCCTCCTTCCCCCCTCCCCTCCCGTGCCTATATAAAGCCACAACAGCAGATGTGTTTTCTCACCTGAAGACGGCCGCTTGTGTTGCGACCGAAACGTCGTGTTTTATTTTATTATTATTTTCTATCTACGTGATTTTACCGAAAGAACCACAGAGTATAAATCTCCTTTTTCACAGATGTCCAGGGAGTGTTGTTAGCATGCACCGTTTACTGGTGGCAGAGCACACGAAAATAGGTGTTTCGCCAATATCACATTCGGCCATCTATTGCTGATGTTGACACACTGCACCATATAACAGTACTCGATCATGGCTGAGTCAACATAGCGGAGGCCCAGTTGAGATATTCATCGCTGATGTTGGCCAATAGGAGGAATCAAACTCGGCTCGCAGGGTTTGTAGCGAGAGTGCGCTCGCCACCGCGCCCTCCCTTGCTCTCTCATGCGCATGTAGCACAACCGTTTCCCTTCGTCGCTGCATCGTCAGCACCAAACAAGATGGGTAGGATTGTTCCCGGGGTCTCGCCGAGGCCCCCCCCCCCCTCTGCCACCAACGAATGCCTGCGGCGCTAGAGGCAGCTGCGTTTTTAAAACACTCACTGCCAAAAAAGATGAATACTTGGGGTTGCCCTCGATGAGACGGACAGCAGCGGTGGTGGACAGCAGATGGCAGAGATTTCTGATTGGCAGCGCAACCCGTTCCCAGCCTCCTGCCCTTCAGGGGAGTCACTCTCCTGTTATATATTGGCATTCGAAGTTTGTATGCGTTTATTCCGCGTGTGTGCGTGCGCATTGTTGGCTCAGTGGCAAGCGCACTGCGCTGCAAATCCTGCCACCTGAGTTGAAAACCTGACCACAGTGAATATCAGTGGCAGGAAGTCTTATGAGAATATGTTTCGGGCCTACCCTAGGTCTGCTCAGCCTTGGGGAGAAAAAGGCGGCCGGGCATGCTGCTGGCTGCACCACTCTGTCATGTGCTGCACTGGCCTTAATAGGTGCTCGCTAATAACACTTGTCTCAATGATTTGTCTGGTCGTATGGCGAGTTTATATTTGCATGTTGTGGGAGAAGTGCCATTCGTGTGAGATGCTACAATATTATATGCATATTATTGGTTCTTGCGGTAAAGTCACGTAGATAGAAAATAAAAATGATAAATGAAAAATTACAAATGAAACCAAAAAACCCACGACGTTTCGATCGCAACACAAGCGGTCTTCATCCGGCGGAGAGAAAAGAGGGGGCAAGTGAGTGGGCGGGGAACGAGAGGTTGTGGGGAAGGATGCTACAGTCTTTTGCAACGCAGGATCAATTCGTTCACCTGGACAATGCTTGAACTGGTTTGTGCCTCAATGAGGTTGACTCGACATAAAAGGAACACCTGGCGTTGATTGTGATTCACATCGCCAATGTGAAGTCGGACAGTCGGTCATGGTGTTAGTTATATCACCCACATACGTGCCATGCTGGCCTTAAGGGGTGCTCCCTAAGATCATTGGTCTGCATGGCTCTTGATCCGAGTGCCATTAGAAGCAATCAGCTGGTACATGACAAGTACAGTAATAGACTTGGTATTACAAACGGAAAAAAAAATTGTCTTGCTACTCAATTGACCAAAAAAGTGGAGCTTATCTGCAAGGCACAAGTAAATTGAAATTCTGCATTTCTATGGCGGGGTCCAGTATCCCTGCAGGGTGGTCACTGTTGGCTTCCCGTGCCAGTGGTTCTCATTTGATAAACCCGAGAGAGATGATGATCCGAGTTTTGCCCAAAGCCTGATTTGAACTCATCGATTTGTGAAAGTCGCAAACCCACTGAACTCCAGGTTATCGGTAAATTATAGGAACACAAATGGGTTCAAGGACTCATCTGTGTCTCCCCTCTCAGTGTTATCACTTCACGAGGATGGGTTTTCTGCTGTTACTCTGGTTTCCTCCCACACACGAGATGCTCCTTAATTGAGGTGATGGGAATGGCTCAGGCATTTAGAGAATTGAGCTGGCATCGCTGACATCCTGGGTTCAAATTTGGACAGCCACCCATGATTCAACTGGGTTCTCAGGTCCAGTGAGTTAATGGCCACAGCTCAGTCACCAATTACTGCAACAACAAAATGTCACATTTTTGTGATAGTGTTTGTTGTTGTGGTTTGGGATTTCACTCAATTTAAAGACCTTTTTTCATCAACATTTTTCGAAATTCAAGTTAAAAACATCGGCTTGATTTTCATGTGACTAACAATCTCGAGAGGGCATGTAAGATGTGTGCCCATTGCCTGGATAAGAGGTCAATAGGTCTCTGACACCGGATGCTAGCTCGATATTAAAATTGATGTTTCTTCATTTCTTAACATATCTCTAAGAATCAATACATAACATTTAGGAGAAAAAAATAAAATATTAAAACGTTTAAAAAAATCTCAAATAATCTGTCCAGACACCAAAACATCCCAATTTAGGGCCGTCCACACAAATGTTCTCGATATAACATGACTCCGGCAAGTGTCTCATCAGTGAGTTTTCTTTGGTTCGGCCGCATAATGCTCCGGCCAAATTTACTTCGTAGAGCCCTCGTCCACCCGACATAGCCAAACAAATGAAACTCGTCACTGTGTACAAATGTGGCCAGACCATTACGTGGGTGAACCCCGAAGTCCATTATGAATCGTGATATCTATCTACTGCGTTAAAATATACACGTTCAATGACGACTACGGATCGCCAAGACTCTGATTCCTCCAAGCACCCGTTCGCGGCGTCTTACTTATTTGACCTTCTTCTTGCCCCCTCCCCCCACCCCCCTCGGTCTCCGCCATCTCAGCGAGCTCAACAACAGCCGCATGTCGCCGTACTACCCGTCGGACAACGACGACGAGAACCCCTTCATCTGCTCGCTGCCCCGAGACAACGGCATGCAGACGTGCGACACCGTGCCGCCCTCGGTGCTGCCAGGCGGGCCCCGCTGCCGCTGGCCACCGCCGTTATCGCTGCGAACGTCGTCGCTGCCGCAGTCCTCTTCGTCCTTGCTGTCGTCATCGTCGTCGTCTTTGTCTTACGATGCCAACAGCTCTGGGCTCTCCTTCGCCACGCTAGGGGAGGCCGTGGCGGCTGGCCACGGCTACCCTTACAGCCAGGGTGGCAACGTGAGCGGCAATTGCATCAACTGGAACCGGCTGTACACGGTGTGCCGGGCGGGGCTACGCAACCCGCACAGCGGTGCCATCAACTTCGACAACATCGGCTACGCGTGGATCGCCATCTTCCAGGTGGGTGGGTTTCGGTGGGTGGGTTTCGGTTGGCGTGGAGTCATGGGGAAGGGAGCAGATGGGGCAGTTTTCCCCTCCGGGTCTCAGATCCAGGGGGGCCTCAGAAAGGGCCGAGGGAGTTTAGGTGGTTGGCGGGGGGTCTCATCTGGCATTTCACCGTGGGTTTCCAAAAAATATTTTGGCAGCCCTGGATGGGTGTGTGCGTGTGTGTAGCGACTCACGTACTGAATTTAAAATTAACACTCTCATTTGAATAAGTGTGATTTTTCAATGTTAAATTACTGAACTAAAACAAATATTTGTTGATGTCGATAATCATCATTGTCTGCCAAGTTCGAGCCACTATCAGTTCTTGTCCTTTGGTCATCACCCATTGTAATGTCTTCTACTCAAGCCCACGTGTCTACAATTAGCATTTGTTCTCTGAACCACGTGTTCCTATTTCTGTCCTTAATTCCCAGAATGCATCTCTCCAATCTCAAATGGTTTATTTTCTACTTTTCAGCTTTTCTTACATTTATTTGTGGGTGTTCATATTTCCAATCAGTTAAGTGCCAGCAGGTAATATGCACCGATTGAAAACTCTCCTCTTTTGGCACGTTGGATAATGCCACTCCATAAAGAAGAAGCAGTCGTAGGCAGTGAAGAAGATGGTGGATGTGAACTTTGAAGAGGGGGAGTGAGTCAGTGTTGCAGATGGCAAGAGAGAGATAGGAGACAGGTCAGTAGAGTAAAAGGGGCAACCTCCCATCAAATGGGGGTTGACTTTGGGGCTTCAATACGCGGGCCTTGGCTGCTGGAGTGAAGGGTACGTAAGCTTGAGATGAGAGGGTGAGTAGTAGATTTTGGCATGTCCATGGAGAATCTTGAGAAGTTTGTGGGGCAGATCTTTTGTTTTGCGTTTCATTTTTTGTCCTTCCCTCGCACCTCCAATTAGCATGGTTGGCTACTTGCGGCGTGAAAGAAGTTCAATGTACAATACATACAAGATTGGGAGCCAGTTTGAAGAGGCGTATGATGGTGGTGATGTAGTTTCATTTGCAAGTGTGGTCTAGAACAGGGGTCCCCAAGCCCTGGGCCGCGGACTGGTACCGGTCCGTGGCCTGTTAGAAACCGGGCCGCACAGCAGGAGGTGAGCGGTGAGTCCACACAAGCTCTAACCCCTAGTAGCCACAATGAGTAAGCCCACAAGCTCTAACCCCTAGTAGCCACAATGAGTAAGCCCACAAGCTCTAACCCCTAGTAGCCACAATGAGTAAGCCCACAAGCTCTAACCCCTAGTAGCCACAATGAGTAAAAAACAAACTTCGCTGGAGAGCTTCTTTGAAAAGGGGGAAAGACCCAAAGATGAACCCCCCACCACCTGTCCTTCATTTTTCCACGAAACCGGTCCCTGGTGCCAAAAAGGTTGGGGACCGCTGGTCTAGAAGACTGGTGGCTGCATTCTGGAGTTTGTAGCTGACGAATTTGGGGAGTTTGGGTGTCATGATGTAGGCATGGAAAAGGGTCTCGGCAGGCAGTGGATGTGGTAAGGAAGTGGTGCTTGTGGGAGGTGTTGTGTGCACAACAAAGAGCAGAGCGCCGGGCAGATAAAACACAGCACAGCAGGGGGCACAGGCGGTGCATCTGCCAGTCATCTCAATCAGTGAATCCATGGCACCTGGATCTCTTTTGCCAGCGGGTGTTCGACACTTCACGTGGCCTTAAAGTGCACATAGCCTGGAACAAGCACTATCGACATTCGCCACTTGGTGTCGAATGGCGATTGTTGTTGATGTTGCACGTGGAGGGAAGGGGTGTCCTAGAGTCGAGCGATACATTCCGTGGGAAAAGAAAGAAAAAAAGCACACACTGGAATATTGAACTTGCTGTGGATAATTGTCATGTAATCAATGCAATACAATAGAATATCTAAATAGCACAAAAGTTAATGAAAAAACATCTAGTCTTTTATCAAGTTCATTATTTAAACGGACAATGTGCATACAAATGTGGCAAAGCAGCGACAAATTTGTACAGCGTAACGGTCCGTTGGAAATAAATAACATGTTTGCTATTTTCTGGGGCTCCGTTTTATGATTTAGTGGAAATGCCCAAGGCTTAAAGAGCCAAACTGTCTCTGTGACACAACAGAGCAGAATCAACCACGTACATTATTCAGAATACAACGTGACATCATACAAATTGTATGACATTATAAAAATAAGTGCTTTGAAAGAAGTTCTTTGAAATAACTATTTTTTTTAAACCCACATTACAGTACAGGTTATCATCACGAGTTGTGAGCTTTTAAAAGTATCTCTGCTCTTGCAGAGACGGTTTGAATGTTGACTAATGTGGTGTCTTGTTATTATGTGGCAAATACATTGAATTCAAAACTGTCTCCCAGCTCAAACGAGCGTTGGGGTGGCATTCATTTCCATTGGGGGAGCCTGGACCAGCAGTGGAAATTCCACATTCCAATGGCGGGCGCCAATCTCGCCACACGCCTATCACTCTTGGCATTTCGTAAAGCAGTACTGTAATCAGTTTGTCAACTCCGGAATGATGATGGTCAATCCACAGCCATGGTCAATCCACTGCTGAACAAAAGGCCTCCCCAAGCCTCCGCTACCTCGCACGATCCTGCAATGCAACAATCCACTTGGTGCCTGCACACAAGCTGATTTAAAAACTCCATCTCTCCAATGAAGTGCTTTTGGACGCTCTAAACCATTTTTTTTCATGTCTAATTTTTTAAAAAACGCAAACTTACTGTGAACAGAGATTCATCATTGATGACTGCATGTTTCAGATTCACCACCCCCCCCCCCCCCCACCCCCCACGTGGCGCAAGAGCACAGAATGGGATTTGAACTTATAACCGTGAGCGCTCTATAACCGCAGGATGGTCAAGTTCAGATATTTGTGACGTAACAATCTCCATTCAGGAAAACATGAGCACCACTCTGTGAACAGTCAACAGCACCCACTATCTTGTTTTTCTCTCCCGAGTGGATAGATAGACTGGCCTTTCCATAGGATAGTGGAGTTGTCACCGTCTTGAGCAGAGATGGATGAGCAGCACCTCGCAATGGGGGACTACTACCCTGTGTGCTTTTAATCAACTTGGAATGTTTGTAAATTCGGGCGGGGGGGGGATGTGTCGGGTCTGTTGTCTGTACTGGCTGAAGAAATACTATTTTGTGACAGAAAGGGAGGTGGAGCGACGATAACATCATTAGTTCAGCAATGAAATGAATCACAGCTGCGCAACACCGGCGGGCATGACATTAAAAGACTTCTATATTTACCCGGCAAAGCGGCACTAAGTCTCAAGACTCCAACTCGCAAGGGCCACCGTGCGCTGTTTGTGTGTTGGCCAATTCCCTAACATGAGGTATTTGGTTTTTTTGCTTTGCTACTGGAAGGGAACCCACGCATAGCGAGGGGATGATGCTCGCCGCTCAAACCTGCAAGTTGTGAAGGTACCCGTCGGTACATTGAAAACTATGAGGCAGCAGTGGCATTTCCACATTCCTATGACAGGGCCCGGTCTCGGTACGATTACCAATTTTGGCTTCAAACATTTGTCATTTAAAATTTTGTTGACTTCGGGGAAGTGATATCCTGAGTCAGGCCTCACAGCACTTGACCACGTGACTCATCACAAACCTACTTTCTGTACCTCCACCTCCTACAAACATGTCCTAGTCGCACCGGAGGTGGGTGTCCCACCAACCCCTCGCTCCCGACCACTACCACCCCAAAGAACAGGCAATCGTCGTCGGCACGTGGCCATGGCTTCACCTAGCAGTGGAGAGATCATGGAGGCCGATATCGCTGTCGGTGGCGATTGTTCGCCATCCAACAATTCACCCTCTCGGTGGTTTCCACGATTAGTTGTTGTGACTCACTTTTTAGATTTGATTCTTTTCAATCTTGTTTTTATAGCTTCATTGTAATGTGTATTGTGTTTTATGTCTTATTTGTACAGTTTCACTTCTTACAATCACCTACTTGGATTTAACATTACGATATCAAGTTAAAGGTACAGCCCTGCGATTGCTTGCTCATGCCACTGCTGGTGGAAGGGCTTCCACCAGAGTTACCTCGTTTGGATATTTGGTCTACTCTTCCACGCTGACCAGACGTGTTGGAAGAGGTGGACATAACCCACACTGTACCCCACCACACATGACCTGTCGATCAACTGCGGTGTTCCCATTTAAACTGGACAGAGACGCCGAGCCGGTAGATGGAATCGAACCAGCGACCTCCAGCATTCCCAGAGCATGTTAACGTGCGATTCTCTATGTATATTGAACTTCTTTCGCACCGCACGATGCCAACCGTTGCTACTCGGAGGCGCGGGGAACTTCAATGATTGTGACCAACGGGAGGAGCCTCACGTAAACATTTCAACGAATGCACCGCGAGCGCCTGATGAAACACAATGTGCCGTTGTCCACGCGTCGGCCCAGGCCTTTCCCTGCAACAACAAAACAACGAGGTGTTTGTTATCTTGGCGGACTCACGTCCCGTTATTCATTGTTATCTCTGCCCCCCCCCCCCCCCCTCGTGCAGGTCATCACGCTGGAGGGATGGGTGGACATCATGTATTACGTGATGGACGCCCACTCCTTCTACAACTTTATCTACTTCATTCTGCTCATTATCGTAAGTGACGCCGCTCGCCAACGGAGATGCCATACACCCCCACCTGCCCCAACCCGCCCTGAGCTGCCCCTACTCTTTTTATCCGTGCAAAATCCACGGAATTTATTTGCCCCCTCAGAGGAATCCCCACTTGGGACTCGTAGCCCCGAGGGGCAGGTACAGTACTGTTAACAATCACCTGAGGGGATAGCCGTGACACAAATGCGATGGGGGGTGGGAGGTCATGTGATCAGTGTCTTGCAAGCCTTGGCTCACCTTTGTCTCCCAGCGCTAGAGATATTCAAAGATAGAATGCATTTATTTATTTCATCAGGAAGTGCCCGATAAGATGTCAGGCTCTATCCTATGTGCGTCCCGAGACAGTCCAGCGCTGATGTTCATAACCGCAAAGTAATCACCGATGTTCGTAACCGCTGGACCACATCGCCCATCGCATTGTGCCTAATCTCGTCGGATTTCAAAAGCTAAGCAGGCTTGAGCTTGGATATTCCCTGAATGGGTGACCACTACCACGCACACACAGGTTGTCATTGGCTACGTGGAGCGAAGTGGTGTGCGGAAGAGGGTTGTGCAAAATATGAATTGCCTGTACTGGACTCTGCTTCTGTTTGCCCCACGCCTATGCTGCGTACCTAGAACTGCTTTTTGTGTTCAGTTTGTTATCCTTCCCCCGCACCTCCAATTAGCGCGGTTGGCTGCGTGCGGTGCGAAAGAAGACCAGCACTCGCAGCTTCGCCACTTCGCATTGACCAGCGTGGCGAAGTGTGGTCGACATTTCCCACAGTCCACACGGCGTGAGGGAGAGTCCCTCGTCCAGCGGTAGATCGACAAGAAGAATAAGAAGGCCCGCGTTGAAAATGACTCGGCCATTCGGGACTTCGAGCCAGGGTCTGCCTGGATGGAGCCTAACAAAGTATACTTTACGAGCACTTTCACGAGAAAACCGCCGTGTAAAATGAACGTTGCTCGACTTACGAACGGACAAGCCACTGCCGACGAAGGCCTCCCCATGCCCCGTTGGTCGCGAGGCTTGTTTGACCAGACTTCGCCATGCCGGGGTCCGTCCGGTTTTGTGAACGTGCCGGTGGCCACGGCAAGACCAGGTGGCACTGTTACACCAAGGCCATGGTTTGAATTCAGATCGTTGGATTCGGAGTGCGGTGTGCACTGCACGTTCCACGTTGGGACCACTCCATTAATTATAGTCAAGTAATTTTAACATTCATAATTTAACATGAATATCTATTAATGCCCACTAAATAAATCACGATTGTGGCTTGACGCCTCATTGCACAAATCTGTATGGTGTCTCTAATGGAACTCCCTAACCACTGTGTTGCTGTTCCACCCCTTGCCATGCTATTAACCACCAAGATAAAAACGTCCCCCTTTTAGCCTCATAGATAATTATCGGTGTAAGTGATGTGAGCGTGCTCTGATTAGACCACAATAGCACACACCTAACTTGCCTTGGCATTGTTATGATTTAGATGAAAACTCAACTCGCATCTGCATCCAGGATCGTGAAAAGAGATTCCCATTAGAGGCACCATAAATCATCGCTCATTAGGAGGCATTAAGCCCAAAAAAACACGTTTATTTGTGGACCTTAATGCACGTTAATATTAATTATGGAATATTAATATGAATTCATATAAATAGTGAAGCAGCTGTACAGTGGTTCGCGCACTGTACCGTGAACCCGGGGTCCTTCATTCATCTCCTGACCACGGCTAACATCAGTGGCGAGCGATTTATGAACCGGTCATACCTGCCCCCCTCCCCCCCATCTTCCCTTTCTCGAACCCACACTGACAAGTGTGGTGAAGTATGGTCAAACATTCCCCCCTTCCATGAACTGATAAGGTGTGGGGGGGGGGAGGGCTGGGGGGGGGGTCATCCTGCGATGGATTTGACAAAGAGCCGTACATATTTTAGTATTTTTATAATCACTCATGAATATTGCATGGATGCTCTTTCGATCGAGGACAAGGGTTGCCAGCCCTGGCGCGATTCACTAAAATATCACGGGGGGTGGGGGGTCAATTATACTCATCGTTTAAACGCCCTTGCAAAATTCTCCCCCTGCTTATTTAGTTTTATTTTTATCGTCATCGTGGCCATTATAACGAGCGGATTGTTCCTAAAGAGGCCGAGTGTTGCGTATCCTGAGGGAAATTTTGCCGCTACTGATATTTCACGTCAGTTACCCGTGTCGTTCATCTTCCTTGTCAATTATAACCATTTGGCGTTTGGGCCTTCTCATTTAAAAAAACAAAATTATCCTACAGGAAGATAGCCAACGAGCCGTTTGACGTGGAGACACATAATACAAAAGTCATTACGCGTCGTGGTGTAAGGTAACGGATAATGAATGTGTCTGAGGTCATATTTAATGGTATAAAATGTGCGATGAAAGTGCACGTTTTGCTCTTTTTGGCACCCAAATGATCCCCACGGTTTTTCCGAGGCTGTAACATCGAATAAACCCTCCTCTAGCAGCTGTTGGAAAAAAGAGCAGACTACACCAAGCACACCATAAATCTTGAAACTGGACCGGAGTTTGCCTGCTTGAAGACATTCTTGCGGGAAAACACGAGGACGGAGAAAATACGCAAATTATTTGACTTGTTTGAAAAATGGGCTTCCACACAGTTCACTATGCATTTAATATGGGCTTTATGTATGTCCATTATGTAGGCATTATATGTTTCACTGTACCTACATATTCCACGTAAGCAGAAGACATTTTACTCTAACCTCGGAAAATAAAAAGAAAACTAGACTTTTTCTCAGATTGATGTGCATGCGAAGCTGATGACACGTGCAATTTGTAAATACAATACTCCATTTGAAATGTTACTGCAATTAGCACACATTTGTTGACACCATTCACTCCCCTGTCAGCACCAAGACGGTGCTGGTATGTGATGTCATGTGAACTTTGATTTCGAGTCCACCCACAATGCCGTTGCGAGTCATACAACCATGCTTGCATAACTGTCATGAATTAAAATGAGAATGCCAATCACAATGAATGTGAAAGATTCTTATTTACTAACGCGGTGCCGTGTACACACTCAATATTCAGAGCCAAGCTAAGGTATGCCCGATTTGAGTGTCCACCACTCAACAAGCCAAGATGAGATTGTTTCCCATTAGTTGGGGGGGGGGGGGGGGGGGGGGGGAGTCTGACTTCAATTATAAATTGTTACTTCGACTTGACTTACGAATTTGATATTTACGTTTTTTGCAATCCATTCATTGTTTACATTGGCACGCTACTTTTTTGATTACGTAAATTCTCTATTTTTTTTTATTGCTTCTCTCTTCCCGAATCCTTGCCCCTCAAACTCCGTTCTTATTTAACATTTACCACCGTCCTTCTTTCCCCTCCTGTGGTGTCTCCCATCCTCTTTCTTCCCCTCCGTGGCCCCACGCCGCTCCCCTCCATCCCGGGCACCGCAGATCGGCTCCTTCTTCATGATCAACCTGTGCCTCGTGGTCATCGCGACGCAGTTCTCCGAGACGAAGCAGCGCGAGAACCAGCTGATGGAGGAGCAGCGCGCACGCATGCACGGCAGCGACAGCTCCCTCGCCAGCTTCCGCGAGCCGGGCAGCTGCTACGAGGAGCTCGTGCGCTACCTGGGACACCTGCTGCGCAAGGTGTGGCGCCGCTCCTCGCGAGCCTTCGTCGACGCTCACGTGGCCCTGCAGCGGCGCATCAACCCCGCCGCCGCCGCCGCCGCAGCCGCCGCGGCCGCGGCGACGGCGGCGGCGGCCGCCGGCGGGCGTCCGCGGCGCGACCAGAACGGCAGCAAGCAGGGCACGCGCCCGAGACGCCGCCGCAAGGGGAAGAAGGGCAGCCGCAAGAGGCGCAAGTCCTGGAGGTCGGTGCACCACCACCACCTCGTGCACCATCACCACCACCATCACCACCACTACCACGTCAACGGGGGAGGCGGCGGCGGCGGCGGGCACCGGCCGGCGCTCGCGCGGTGCATGTGCCGTCCCCGTGGCGGTAGCGGCGGTGGCAGCAGTGGCGGCGGTCCGAACGAGCGCGACGTGTTGCCGGCGGACGTTCGGACGGCCGTCGTGGTGGTGTCGTCGCCGCCGGCGCCGCCGCTGCCACCGCCGCCGCTTTCGTCGCCGTCCGGTAACTTTGGTGTGCGACGCACGCCGGGCTTGGCGTCCGTGCACAGCGTCTACCACGCCGACTGCCACCTGCTGGCGGGACGCCCGCTGCCATTCCGGGGTTCGCCGCTCACCTCGGAGGTCACGGTGGCAGCGGCGGCAGCGGCGGCGGCCTCCGCCGTCGTCGCGTCGGCCGTGTCCCAACGGCCCCCGCCGCCTCGGCCACCGCACGAGATGAACTACCCGACCATCGTGCCGTCAGCGGTGGTGGCGCCGGACAAAGGGAACAAGACGTGGAAGACGCGAGGGCCCCGCCGGGGAGAGTCGCGGGCGCACAGCTCGAGCACCACGGATGCCTTCGCCAAGCGGCACCACATCTTCGCCGCTTACGGTACGGTGTGGCTCAGCCAGGGCGCACCACTCGGTCCCGCACGGCGTGGATCGGGTCGTCACGGGAGGTGCGAGCTGGACTCTCCCGCTTCGTTGGAGAGTTTTGAAAAGTCTTGAGGAGGTTCGAGTGAACGTTAGGTGAACCGGCAGCCAATCGGGGTTAGGCTGCGGCAAAAGGGGGTGGGGCAACCGCGTGGTGATTCAGCAACCGCCACGCTCAGTGTGATGCTCAGTGGTGTTGAGAGCGAGTTCCACGCAGCGTATGGCACAGGACATTCCGCCCTCCCCACCCCATAATTTTTCATCATCTCCTTCTTATGATCACATTGTTTCTCGTGGTGATTTATCTTTTTTGTGTTGTTGTTGTTGTTGTTTTGTCCGTCTCTTTTGTTCCCTGTTTTTCATCGTTTATTTTTTCATGCCTGGTTTTTTATTGCATCTCGTTATTGTTTTCCACCATTGCTTGTTTCTGCACTCTGGTCGTTTTCGTTCGTTCTGTTTTAGTTGCTGATATTCCTTCATTATATTTGTTATGTTCATGTTCGTCCTGCTCTTGTTCTTCTCCCATTATCTCCCCTTTGCTTGTGTTATTATCGTGTTATTTCAATGCTAAATTCTATGCTAATTCCTTTGTCAAGGGGTGCCTCTGCGGATGTGTATACTTTAACTTAGCTATTTCAATGAGCCATTTCAATGCTAAATTATATGCTAATTCCTTTGTCAAGGCGCTTTGTTTTCTTCTCACACAGTTTAAAGGTCGTGATCTAAGCGTGGCTTCTTCCACTCCAGCGCTGTCCTCCAAACAGTCTGGTCCCTTCACCTGATGAAGGCCGCTTGTGTTGTGGCTGAAACGTCGTGATTTTTTGTTATTTTATTTTCACCTACGTGACTTTACCCAATAGAACCAAAGAGTATTGTCGTGTTATTTATTTTGTTGTTATATATTTATTCTTGGGTTTAACTTCTAATTATTTTCCTCCTTTTCTTCGCTTGTTACACCTTTCTTGCATTCTACTTTTCCCTGTATTTTTTTAAGTTACATTTTTATCGTAGTTAATTATTCTTAATATAATTTAAACCATGGTTATTATTGTGTTGTTTCCAATTTTTTACAATTTTGGCTCGTTAAATTTTCCAGAGGATTCCTACCGACTGTGACAACTTGCTGCATTTTAGCTGTCCGGCGCTCTGCTCGTTGTTGTGAGCGTCACACCTTTACCCTCCGTTGTTGCTGGAGGGCAAATACCTCCGACTGCCCAGTAGCAGCGTCCTTCATGAACTTCTTCCACAGAGGCCGATCTTGCTACTGCTGGTACCAGTCCTAGCGGCAAGTCCACATACTCAGCCCGTCTCTTCTGTGTGCCCGTTTAGCCCCCTCTGTCTGGCCAAACAGTAACCGCTTTGGCACCCGGTGGCTGAGAATGCAGGCTACATGACCCAGCCGACACAGCCTTACCTGCTGTAGGAGCTCACTGATGGAACTGTATCCAGATCTTTGAAGGATCTGTGATATCCTCACACAATGTAGCCGGCTTGAATTTCAGGATGTAATGTACACACACTCAATGCTATTTCATCATCCTTTATATGCAGTTAACAATTTTAATATGCAAAGCCACATTAGTTGAAAGTAAGCCGTGAAATTGTAAAAATCCAACTTTAATGCAATTGTGCAATAAATTTCAATGGGCGCCCCTCACTTAACAGACTGGCTTGCTCGACTCGCTCTTTTATTTATATGAGGTTTGGCTGGAGGTGCTTCCAATTTTAGCCCAGCCCTTTCAATCAATGCAGCAATCAAGTGTTATGCACCAGTGGGTGGTTGGAGGGTGCATTATAGATTGAGAGTGCTGTGTTTTTTTTTTGTGCAGCGAGATCGGCAGGAACTGGCCGCCCTATTAAGCGAGAGTGAGATTTTGGCCGCGTGTCAGCAGCGTGTCTTTGTGTAATTGTGTCATTTGCCGGATTCGTCATCACAGCGGTCCTATAATCATCAAATGTTCGAACTTAACTGGATCCAGTCTCGCGTGTGACTGCGATCTCGAACGTGGAGCCGCAAACTACGTGGAATGTACAGATATTTACTCGCATCGCTTGTATTTCTATTTCAAATCTGCTTTGGCAAAGGGCGGCAGAGTGGCGTCGTGCTAATACTTGTGCCTCGCAGCAACAAGAGTCTGGGTTCGAATCCGAACCAGCCTTCCTGTGTTGATTTTGTACATTCTGCCCATGTTCTGCATGTCTTTCCTCTGGGTTTTCTGGCTTACTCCCATTAGGGGTTATTTATTTATATAATTTGCATCGGTCATTTATTGCTGTGCTGAATATTTACCTGCGTATTACCTAATTGGCATTGCACCGAGCAGCACCCCCCCCCTCCCCCCCACCTACTGCGAAAAATTTCGGAGGATCGTCCGTAAAAAGGGTCAAGACTCAGGCTCTCCTAGATAAACAAGCGTAATAAGGAATTAAATCCATGTGGGGATTGGTTAATCACCAGGCATGTAACAATGCAGAGAATCATTGATTACAATCGATTCGAACACTCCCGTTCATTGAATTGCGGGTGGAAAAAAAAATGGACGACCCCTTATGCAAATTGTTTGTGAATGCTACAGCTCGGTTAACGAATTGTACACACGATGTACAACGACGGTCGAGATAGGGCAGTAAACATTTATGATTTTGTTTGTGCACTGCATTAATTTTACGCACACTTTCTATCGGTGGAGGGGGTGGGGGGGGGGATGCCAACACACCGAAACAACTTCCAACGAACTTTCATTTAAGAAATGCACGCTGTTGTGGCTGATAGCCACCAGTGTTATGTTTGTGCTGAGCTGAGGCCATTAAACTAGTGCGCTTTACCTGCAATTAATGTGGCTAATAAATGAATGCCACGAAATGCACTACTTACCTTTGCCATTGTGCTTCGGTGATGTATGTTCGCCGTTAAGGTAGGTCCCAAAAGGATCAAAAATTAATTGAAATTGCTGACATCTGCCTGTGCTGAATTTGATTGCTCTGCACACGGCTTTTATGCAGCAGTTCTTTTTTATTATTATAATTGTAAAATACGTCTAAGTATATTTTATTTCTTTAATGATCATTAGAAACATTCCCTCCTCGCCGCAGTGGACTAACGACTGCAACCGAAGCACTGGGCCAGCACTCTGAGTACCTGAGTTCGATTCCTGGGTCTTGTTGTAGAGAGCTGGGTTTGCCCGAGCAGTGAGTTTTATTGAGTCCAGTCAACATTGTGCAAAAAAACAGCATTACAGTGAGGGAAAAAAGTAGTTGATCCCCTGCTGATTTTGTACGTTTGCCCACTGACAAAGAAATGATCAGTCTATAATTTTAATGGTAGGTTAATTTGAACAGTGAGAGACAGAATAACAACATAAAATTCAGAAAAACGCATGTCAAAAATGTTATAAATTGATTTGCATTTTAATGAGGGAAATAAGTATTTGACCCCTCTGCAAAACATGACTTAGTACTTGATGGCAAAACACTTGTTGGCAATCACAGAGGTCAGACGTTTCTTGTAGTTGGCCACCAGGTTTGCACACATCTCAGGAGGGATTTTGTCCCACTCCTCTTTGCAGATCTTCTCCAAGTCATTAAGGTTTCGAGGCTGACGTTTGGCAACTCGAACCTTCAGCTCCCTCCACAGATTTTCTACCACCTCCATGTTTGACGGTGGGGATGATCAAAACGAGCACCTCTTTGTGGAAATTCAAAAGTGCTTGGTTATGTAGACGAACTGCTCCTCAAACATTGAAATGTGATTCAGGACCGCCAATGTAGATTAGCAACACCAAACATTTGCCTGAGAGGAGCAATCCTCACGTGACAACTTAGTTTGCGTGCAGTTATTGGTGAGCTGGCTGAGACTGTTAAAATATATTTTTCATGTAGTAATGGGCTCATTTACCCAGGATTGTCTCGGAGTCTCGGGACTATTTTTCAGGAGGCTACTGCTTTGGGACAGTTTGATCAATTCCTAATCAAGCGCGAGGAACGCAGAACACTTGGAGAAACCGCAATACGCGTTGTTAGGGATACCATTCAAATGTCCATCCCACCAGATTCAAGAATCCATTACTGTTCTCGTGGCCACCTTTCTTATTGAGAAGCTGATTTATTCTCTGGTGGCTGGCCGGAATTGAACCCACAATCAAAGCAGTGCCGGCCCTGTGTAGGTATCACGGGCATGACCAAAAGTCACCCAAACATATTTCGGAGCACGGCATGAAAAAATCACTCTCTTACACCCTATTATTCTATATTTCAATGTGGTAGCCCGCATCAATATATTAATATGGCTCCTGCAGAAAGCAGGAAGAAATAATGGAGGTGTGACGACATGAACATCATGAACCTCGATAACCTCTTGATTTATATTTCAGCGAAGTTCAAAAATGCAATATATAAATACATTCAGAAGGAGCCTCAGATAAATGTAGTGGCCATTTAAATGGGATCCTGGCTCTTTCCAAGGGAATGTGGAATGTTCCACCCCTCCAACGTTAGGGCTGGAAATGGAGATGAAAACTCCCCGGGGCATGTTATGGCAATGAGAGACAATGGTCTTGACTTTTTGTGTCAGGGGGAGATTAAAAACTGCGTGGCTGGCCTGACATAGAGGGAATGGCGTGACAGCAAAGATTGAATTCACATTTCATGGGATCGAATTATCATCTTCATCAACATTTAGCGTGAAACCGTCTGGTTTGCTCATCAGCTTCTGATAAATACTCCATGCAGAAGAATCTTGAAAAATGTTTGAGACAACGTCCATTGAAATCTTAAGACAACCCACACTCACCAGACGTGGCTTCCAATACCTTCCGCACGTCGCCACGGTTGAGAGTGGTATGACGAGGGAGACAGTCTGTTCTGGGTTGTGATTAAAACCTTGAGACATCAAGGCTCACGGAGCGAGTGCATTGCACTTAAAGAGGGAACTGTGTAGAGAAATACCACAGCTTCATCAAGGTCGCTGATTGCTCTCTAGGTTAGGACAGAAACTTTCGATCACCTCTGGTAACGATCCTCCTTGGGGAAACTAAAATATTTTTTTAATAAGCCCACGTGACTACGTGATGGATTGTTACAAAGAGAGCATTTATCAAAATCTCCTCATTATTTAAAAGCCCGTGTTCCTTTCCATTGCTGGAATGGCATAACATCATCGAGGCTGTGCCCGCGTAATTAAAACGAGGGCTTGGAAGAAGGATTTTTTTCCCCTTTTATGTAGCGTGGGAAACATCGCGCGATGATTTAGATTCCCGGCCTTGAGCGAAGTGAAGACCTCCACTCTCTCTCTCCAGGAATCTACGCAGTCAGCCGTTCGCACCGGACACCCGCACACGGTGCTGACAGCTCTTTACTATTGGCATCATTAATAGTGAAACAGGCCTGCAACTGAAACGGCGTCGCGTTGTAATGAGCAAACGTTTTGGGCTGTGGCAATTCCACAAGGGGAGGAGGGGGGGGGACATAGGAGAATGCGCCGAACATGCCCAAACGCACGACTGGTGCGAACTACCGTAACGTTCTAGAGGGGATGCGAAGGTGAAATGATGCAAAAACGTGGGCGAGTCCAGGCTTGCGAGTTAAAAAAAAAGGCACCGGAAAACTGACAATGTTAATATTTGGGACGCGAGAAATTACGACGCAAAACTTGTTTGGGTCACTTACGGCGGCCAGGGTCAACCGAGCATTCTAAATCACTTAAGTCCCCTATTAGCGTTTAACAAACACGCACTTCCCATCACCAGCGAAGCAAGTAATTCAACCCTTGTGGAATGTGACGCTAAAACTGAGAAAGAAACGGCAGAAGCCCACCGCTGGACACCAGTATAATATATTTGAGCGAATGGGACGTCTTATTGTCACATCCGAAAACCCGATCGGGGCACGACTCGGCCCAGAGTGACGACGTTCGTACGTGACACGAAGCCGTGCCACCGTGTGTCCGCCCTCCCGACAGCGGGCACGAGCGAGCTGCTGTGCCGCTGCCCGGCGTTCCCGAGCGTCCCCCTGGGCGTCCCGCAGCCCGACCTGCTGCCGGCCGCGGCAGGCGAAGGGTGCGCCCTGTGCGCCGCGGGACAGGACGAGCCGTCGGCGTGCAGGCGAGGAGGAGGAGGAGGAGGCGGCGGCGGCTGCGGCGGCGGTGACTCGGTCTCGGAGGGCTCCGCGTCCGGGCGCGAGTCCCCCTCCAGCGCCCGCGACGGCTTCGGGCCCGGGGAGGCCGTCTGCTCCGTCTGCCGCTGCGGGCGGCACTGCCGCGACCGCCGGGCCGGCTCCGGCTCCGGCTCCGACTCGGGCTCCGGCTCGGGCTCCGGCAGCGATTGCGGCGGCGGCGACGACGACGGAGACGGCGACGGAGACGGAGACGGCGACGGCGACGACGACGACAGCGGAGGAGATGAACGCGGCGGCGGCGGCGACGGCGGCGACAGCGGCGGGGGGGACGACGGGGAACGCGACGGGACGGGGAAGCGCGGGTGGCTGCGGCGCTGGAAGGAGCGGCCGTGCGTCGCCGGGCTGACGCGCTTCTGCCACACCGTGAGCCAGCGCTTCAGCTGGATCGTCAACAGCAAGTACTTCAACCGCGGCATCATGGTGGCCATCCTCATCAACACCGTCAGCATGGCCATCGAGTACCACGAGCAGGTGAGGTCGTTCGTCGTGATCGGCGGTAGCGGCAGCGGTGGTCTATACACTGATGGACGGAGGCTGATCTATTCAAGCCACCGCCTTCCCTCCCACAGTGTCGAAATGTAACAATCCGTCTCGGATTTTGGCGCGAGTTGATTTCATCGTTCCTTCTTCATGATGGAGGTAGTCTGAGGCGCATCCCCTCAACTTAATTGTCCATCATCACCTTCTCGTGATGTGTTCTGCTCATTCCAACTTCCCACTTCCTATAATTGTCAGTTTTCCCGATGATGTCTCTAACCTGTCGACGCGCCCTCCAATCCGTACTTATTTTGAATCCCTCTTTGGCAACTTAATAGAGTGTTGAGTTAATTCAGATGTAAACGACTTAACGTTTCTTCTCAAACGGAGAAGAGTATGTTTACTTTATTGCAACAGCTGCACTACAGTATTAATTATCAGAATTGAACTTCATCTTTCGCCGGTCAACAGCATTAGCAATGTCGTGGCATCATAATGCACAGCAGACATCATTATTATCATGAATATTAAAATGTTACATTTTCACAATTGCATTCCAGAAACTGACCATAGTGCTCCTGATGAAACGACAGTGTGGTGGTAGAGTATTGGTGCAGTAGTTAGCACACTGCACTTTGAGCCTGACGACCTGAGTTCGATTCCTGACCATTGCCAACATCAGTAGCAAGTGATGTCTGAACTGTTGCTGCATAACCTCCTTCATCATCCCGCAACGACCATCTTGGTGAAGTCTGGTAAAACAACTCCCATAACTGATTTGGGATGAGGTCTTCCTTCGTTGGTGGAGTGAAAAAAGGCTGTAAGTTTTGCAAATATTTATTAAGCAGTGCCCACAGCAGCCGTGTAAATCAATCAAATGATATTCTTGTGCACTGAGACTCACGCTTAATAATCATGACCTTTATTCAGATAAGTCCCCAAAATATAAGGGTTATGGGCACTCCCTTCTCAATGGTGTGTTTTATCTAAAAGTGACTGGAGCTCCCGCGATATTATGAGTGATTTTTTTGGGTTAGATCGCGTAAAATATAAATGTGTCGTTAAACCCGCCACCACCTGACACAGCCAACTAGTAAGGGTTGTCACGTAAACAGCACGTGGCCAATTCGTCACTAGTACAGCACACTGGTGTGTTGGAGAGCCAAGCTACAACATTTACAATGTGAGTACGACGTTTCGCCAGTAATTACAACTAGCTTCATCAGGTGAAAGCCAGATTTGTGGAGAAGTCCACCTGTTTTGTTCCTTATATAGAGGCGTAGATGTGGTGACCACGCTTTTGCGCTCTTCCGCAAAGTGGGGAGGGGGGGGGGGATTAATGATTAAACTTACATTATGCATGTCCATTATGCGAGCCCTTTGATCAGCACGAGACTAAAAGAACACCAAATAAATATTAAATACTCCCAAATACAACTGTCAGCAGTAGCAGAACACGCCTGCCAACAAGGACACTCAATTGATTTTGATAATGGTGAAGTTCTGTGCAAAGCTAGCTACTGCTGGCCAAGACTAATTTGAGAAGCTATAAACATTAAAAGAAAAAATAATTTTAACCGTTCGAATAGCTACCGACTTAGTGCTACTTGGAAGCAAATCATCAAATAATAAATGTTTTAATGCATGCCTATACAGGCCACCATACTTCAATGGGGATTACCGTTGGTACGGCTATTTTAATAAACACAATAAAGCAGGAAGGACAAGATCAAAGGGCTCGCATAATGCGCATGCCTAATGCATGATGTACGTTGCCTCAGTAATCCATCTCACCCCCTCCCCACTTTGCGTGAGAGCGCAGAAGTGTGGTCACCACATCTACGCCTCTATATGAGGAACAAAACAGGTGGACTTCTCCACAAATCTGGCTATCGCCTGATGAAGCTAGTTGTAATTACTGGCGAAACGTCGTATTCAGATTGTAAATGTTGTGGCTTGGCTCTCCAACACACCGGTGTTGCTACACTAGTGACGAATTGGCCACGTTCTGTTTACTTGACAACCCTTACTATTTGGCTGTTTCGGGTGGTGGCGGGTTTAGCGACACATTTATATATATTTGCGTGATTTAACCCAAAAAAAACGCCTCTATTATGGATGATATAGGTCGCGAAAGCCTGCTACGTGTTAAACTGATACTATGTGTGTTCAGCGATAATGCTTGTGGCTCATTGAGCCACATTATGGCACATCTAGGAATATTCAGTTTAAATGGTGAAGCTCACAGAGACAGTTTGTAGATGGGCAGAGAGTCGTTTGTAGAAAACCACCAAGTAACCTTATTCGAATGTCATCTTTCTAGACATTATTTACCGAGTCTCAAGACTATTATTCCAGCAGTTCCTCCGTTGATATATTTGACCATACTTTCCTTAAGGAGTCACTTGCATGTGGGAGAAAACTGCAGTGTCCAGACGAAAACCCACAATGCAATGGAGGGGATAGCACTCAAAGGTCTTTGCAGACTGGCCCATGAAGCCACTTCCTGTCCTGCCAACACTTGACCACCTCGCAGACCACAGTAGATTTTGAACCCTGTGTTTGGGTGTACGAGTGTGTACATGTATTTTTGTCTCCAAACGTTGATGCATGCTTGCCTGTGTGCACGTGTGTGTTTTTGTGCGTGCAAGCGTATGTTCACAAGCATGTCTACATGTACATTTGTGTGTATGTACATGCATGTGTTTTGCTTCAGTGTGTATGTGAATGGGGAGTGTGGGGAGCGGTGGTGTAGTGGTTAGCGCGCTGCGCTATGAACCCAGCGACCCGAGTTCGATTCCCGTTCACGGCCAACACCAGTGACGATTTTCTGAACCGACCCTCAGCCTCCCCTAGGTGTTTAAATATCACCAGTGGGAAGATAAAGGTAGCTGGGCATGGTGCTTGGCCACTCAACCTATCTTGTGCTGTGCTGGCCTTAATAGGTGCTCATTAACAGCACTTGCCCCGACAGTCTGGTAAAGTTATAGGGTAGGGGATGTCTTTGTCTCTGCAATTGTGTGTGCATATGTCACTCTCTGTGTACACCTCTATGCGTACGTGTGTATGCCTGCCTATGTTCTCTCTGTGGAGGGGAGGCATGGTTAATGATGTCTTGGAGGAGGTAATGGTGTGACACGGCCGTTAATGGGGTGTAGACGCGGCCCCGCGTGCTCATAGCGGTGCCCGAGTCTGCACGCCTGGACTCGATTCAAGGATTAAAAAGCGTTACGTGTGCCCGGCGTTCCATAATTGACTCGCTCTATCCTCTGGCAAAAGAACATCTCTCGGACGCAAAATAAAATAAATTGAAGCGGGAGAGATAAAATAAAGTGCGAGTGATGGCTCCAGACTAACGTTTCGCATTCTTCTCTGACTTTTTTTTCCTTTCGGGGCTGATACGGAATCATAAATGTTAATTCTCGGTAATACCGTGGTCGTTTTCCAATGGGGGCCCCATTCTTTTCTCATGCCCTCGCACCACCATAGACACCAGGGTACAGTATTTCCATCGCGTCGAAAAGATCCACTGGTGTGTCGTGTGGCCACGTGTGGGGCGACCACTCTGTATGGACGGCCACATCGTTGTCAAAAATGAGGCTTCCCTTAAAAGGGCCGAGCATATGTAAATGCGAGGGCAACAGACCTGGGCTACGCAGTAGATGGGCCACCACAGTCCCCACCCAATCTGTGCAATGGCCTCTAATGTCCTTGTGCTTGGATTTGGCCTGCTCCTGTGATGGTCTGGCATTCCAGTTGTTTTGAGAAGAAGTTCTCTGTCATCTGAATGTCTGGACCCATTGCCTGGAATATACAGACTTTGAATTCGTTTAGCGGCTCTATGTACGTAACATTTTATAAGGAAACAATACAAAAATAAGTTACGGAGTGAAAAATCAAATATATTAGAGAGTGGGTCATAGGGGTTATTTGACCATACTTCACCATGTTGGTCAGCGCTGGTTGTTGACGTTTGTGAGTATGATGTCGTTGTATAGCACAGTACAACAATGGATTTTTCTGCATTGTTCTCCGCTGCACACAACACAGCCATGCAGCCATAAGCAACCTGTTTGTGCCGGGAGGTCTTCCATTCAAGCATTGCTCAGGCTCAAATCTGCGTAGCTCGTGAGATTGGATAAGATTGGGTGCATTCCAGGTGGTGTAGTTATCTGGTGATTTCCCAGAATGCCGTGTTTAAAATTTGATATTGCAGGGGTTGAGGTAGAGCACTTGACTCAAACGTGTGTGTTTATGCTTGTAGGGATCAAGTTGGTCAATCATCATCATCATCATCATCCCTCTGGGGCAGGGGAGGGCAAATTTTTTGACTCGCGGGCCACAATGGGTTCTAAAATTTGACAGAGGGGCCGGGCCAGGAACAAATAGATGGAGTGTTTGTGTGAACTAATATAAATGACATGTAAAAATCATTACATGAAAGGATTTGGCCTTTAACAGGTAGCAAAGCATTTATTTGCGAGGCAATTTAACAACTTGCACGAACATGAACAATACAAAAACATGTCGTAACTCCCGGTCAAAGTGCGCCATCTAATGGGGAAATGGGGGCATTACAGGAGAAAGATAAAATTTAATATAACAATAATAATATTTGGACAAATTCGGCGGGCCGGATTAAAAAGCCCAACGGGCCGTATATGGCCCGGGGGCCGTACTGTGCCCATGTCTGCTCTGGGGTCATTAAAATTGTACCGCTTCGTGGGAAGTCAACAATAGTTGTCCTATAACGATACTGGCTCAATCATAGGAATGTGGAATTTTCACCACTAGCGGAGATGAGCACCACTTCATGTCTGTGTGATCAAGTATATGCTCTGAATTTTGACAGCGAACACATCATCACTCTGGGTGAATGAAACTTGTACCACTTCGTGGGAAGTCTTCATGGGTAAATTTTGTTCAGAACCTGCTTGCTGTTCTATCTCCTTTCCACACCTATTGTCATTTAGACACCTTTTTACTGACATTTG